TCCATCCATCAGCATAAACCTATCTTCGTTGCAAGGCAAACAGCTTGAAGACTTGTGCTCTTTGTACTCCAGTTGGAGAGGTCCACTGACTCACCTAAGCTACTTGGCAAGTGAACTAGGCAGAAGCAAGATGGAGCCTCGTGTGAGAGCCACGAACCACACATAGTTCTTGGAATTTAGGCATACGGTGGGACCTCATGCCTCCTGGGATGGGACCCCCAAGAAGGGTCACACTGAAGTGTTTACATTTTCTTATGGCAAGATATATAACTGGCTAGAGCTGGGATTCTGCTGTTTCTGGCCACTAGAGTTAGGTCACATCCTCCCCCCTCGTATCCCCATTATGACTGCATCCTCTAACTTCTGCTTCCTGCATTTGAAAGGACAAGTTTGTTGGCTGAAAGAGAAGGGAGAATTCTGGAGAGGGGATGCTGGGTAAAGAGTCTGGGGGGAAGGGGAGGAAGACTAGTACCGTGGGAAGCATGGGAGCTGCTTCAAGGCAAGATCCATGCCTTGCGTGAATTGGGGTGATCAAGTATCCTCTACCTGGGCACCAGCTTCCTGGCATGGCCTGGGAAGTTGCCGTAGAGCAGCAGAGCTGGGTGACGGAGGCAATTCAGAGATGTCTTTCCATCAAAGGGCTTGTGGGCTGTGGACTTCCACGTCAAGACCCGTGGAGAGTAACATGATCAGACCTGTTCCGAAGCACGACCACCGCTGGGGGTCTCTGACGCAGTGAGAGGAGACGGGGAGGGCATTGTCAGGGGTGGCAAAGGCTTGCATGAGCAGGGGAAGCTTGGGAGTTGAGATTCAGAGGTTAACATCGCCGTATCCTCAGTGGCACCCACAGGCCAGAGAAGCCTGGGACAGTTTGGATGCAGATTGAAGGCTGCTGGAGTGTGCAGTGGACACGTGATGACACAGCAGAAAGCAGGAGCCGGTGGGGAGTTGGGCTCTTCTTTTTGTCTGCAACCCTGACCTTCGCATCTAGCGCAGTGTCTCTGCCTGCTGAGGGCCCTTCCCTCCTGGTCTCTGCTGAGTTGGGAGAAATGCTGATATTTCTACTCTCCTGCAGGTGGCGCCACAATTTAGGTTTTTAAGCTGCTGACTGCCTGTAGTTTTCTTCCAGTGCACTGTGCTGTGTGTAAAACCCAGCCTTGGGGCCAGCTCCTGCCGGGGAAAAAAATTCTCTATAGTACCACCAGGTTCTGGTGATTTATTTAACGAGCAAATCTGGCTTTTATCAACTTAAATAGCGGTTCTGTTGCTGGACTAATAAAATGGTGGTAGCTAAGTGAAGGGAAACTTAAGGATTTCTTCTCTGCTCCCCTATTAAATCTGGCCCTTTTATTCCACCGTGAGAGATGAGCCAATACTTTTCTCCTCAAACCCCTTAATAAACCACAATTGGATTGCCACAAAAACAGCTGCTTTGGAAACAGGGCTTCGCAAAACCTGTCATTTTGCTTCTCCCTCTTGTGGCCACGGGGCCAGGCCATGACCTACCTGGCTTCCCCACTGGGCTAGGGGCACAGTGGGTGACTTACAGACCCACTGTCAACAAGAGAAAGCTTGTGTCTCACTTTGCCCCTCACCAGTTGGCAGGGGTTGGAGGAGGTGAAAGAGTGGGAAGGATTCGTGCCTCATGCAGAAACCCGCCTTTAACCGTTATTAGGGTGGCCTTTCCCAGTGTGTCTGTTCATCGAGAAGAGTCAAGACAGCAGAGAACCTTCCCGGCCTCACTGCATTGTGCTCTTTTTTTTTTTTTTTTTTTAAAGATGTGTTGTTCTGAAAAGCAATGCTAATTCCTTCTGTATGTATTGCACTTAGAGTTCTGAGGCACATGAATAGATAGCATCTCTTTCGACTGTCACTATCTCTAACGGGTAAATGGGTCTGGGGAGAAGACAGGGAGTCACTGAGAAGGTGTAATCTGCCCCCAAATTATAGAGCTGGTGGGTGCCAGAGCCAGGACTAGGACCCAGGTCTTCTAATCCCGTCCCCTCCCACTCTCTGGCCTTGAGAGAAAAATCCATCTTTTTTTTTTTTAATTATGATTTAAAAAACTATAATTAAAAAAAATCAAGTCCCGCGCCATTGCTAATTTGACCCTGCCAGTTCTTCCTGATGCTGACATCACAGCTGTCCCTGCAGCACACCTTTCACTCGTGTTATTAAAAGGAAGGGGAAGAAAGGAAAGGCAGGTGGCCGCATGGCCCCATTAATGACAGGAGAATCGACTGGGCCCCTCACCTGCCCATTGTTGGGCCAGCTTTTTGCCTCCCTTCTTCCCTGTCATTTGGCTCTGTTATTACTCTTCAGGCACCACATGGCATTCATTTCTCTGAATGAAAATAAATGACCACACACTAGGCAGGAGATAAAGAATCATAAATACATTTTCTTTGCCACCTCTAAATAAAGGTCTTTGACTTCCCATCCATCCATCCATCCATCCATCCATCCGAAAATGGACCTGGGGCCCAACAGCTATATTCACACATACACACACATGCACACGTGTATACACACAGGCTACAAGGGGAAAAAATCAAGTCGTATAAAAAATACATGCGAGAACGCAGAGAATGGAAACAAAGTTGTTTTCTCCCTTCCCCCCATCCCTTTAGCATTTTTGCGGCAAACCCTGAAAGCCAAGCAGCAGACAGACATTTGAAAGGACTCCCCCCGCCCCTGCCCCACTTTTATTGAACCATATTCCTTAAGTAACCCATTACGGTTTTCTGTGGTGCTGTCTGTGCTGTCACCTCTGGAAAAGGCCTGTGATGGTCCCGTGTAGCAGTTTTAGAGAAGATGCCTCGAAGAGGGGCCGGCACCAGGGTGCAAACACCATTATAGGAGCCTGAGCACTTCCTTAAATGCTGCATCCTGGAGTCTGCCTTGTCTCGCCCTAGTCTCAGTGTGCCTAGACAGACATTTGGCCCGGCGAGCCCTCAGCTCCGCTGGAGGGCCACGATGCAGCAGCGCTGAGTTATTTTGTTACACGTGCCCCTGGACTTCCGAAACGAACCTGCTGTCGTGTGCTTTGTCTAGAGTCTGGGATCCAGGGTTTCTGAGAGGAGCCAGATCAACGTATTAACACAAGCTAATAAGATAACTCCTTGCTGCTTTCTGGGCCATGCAATACTCAGCAGAGAAGCAGAGGCTAAAAGGGCTCCACTCTGTCTCCCGGAAAACCCTTTAACCAGACAACCGAATGTCTGCTGTCTCCTCATTGGGGCCTGGCTCATCTCCTTCTCACTGAAGCACCCACCTTGGGAGAGCAAAGCTCCGGCCAGGCCCTATCTAGGTGGGCCCTGACTGACCTATGTTTGCTGCCCACTTTGCACCTTGTATAGCTGGTCAGCTCACAGCTCATTTGAATGTCTCCCCAGTTTATAACTCTCATTTCTATGAAAACATAACCCCTACAGGAAAGTGTAGGAATTTATGCTGTTGTCAGTCATGTCCACCTAACGGGAAGATTCTGAGATGTTTTGATGGGAGAGACAGGAATGGGTGTGGGGGAAGGGAAAGTCGAAGAAGAGACGTGAAGCAGGAGGCCAGAAGCCCGCTGCTCCTTTAGTGGGTCACCTTGGATTGCCGCCCATGCAAGGAACCACTTCGCTGTGGTGGGGTGCGGTGACAGGACATGTATAAAGTTGGACACATAAGTGTGGGAGTCCCTCAGGCTTCTCTAGGTGGGTGGGTCATCGTCCTAGGAGGATCAGGGTGGAGGTTTCAGAGGCAGAGCTGTCCACTTCCCATCCTGGCACATGTCCTCCCTGCCAGCCGGCTGTCTAAACTAGAGCAACATGGAATTTCTTTCCTTGGACTTCAGAAACTGCCCTGATGTTCACATTGTCTGTTTTCGCTGTGGTGTAGAATCCAGGGTTTCCAAGAGGAGAGGAGCCAGGGCAGCCTCTTCATATAAATCAGATTGCCAGGCAAGCTCTAGGGCACTTGGCCATTCAAGCTCTCTCACCTAGGCCTTCCGTCTTTGGGTGCCGTGGGGGTGCCCTGGCGGGTGCTGGGGCGGGGCTCTGATTAGCAATGGGTGCGTGCGCCTGTGTTAGCTCTGAACAGCTGCGGGTCCCTCCGACCGACGGTCAGCTCCCATGTCCCCACCTTCCGAAGAGGCTGAGTACGTTTCACGTTTCACTCTGAGTGCGCGCCCTGTGCCCCTGTCACCATGTATGCGCCCCTCTCTGCCCTATATCGCCACTGGCAGGGTCCCTCGGTGCGGACCGAGGGGACAAGGTGAAGCCGGCAAACGTCGCTGCGGGGGATCGCAGGCCAGGTGGGCGGTGGCGGGCGCAAAATGTGGGGGAGGCGCCCTCTGCCCCCTCTGCCGGCCGCTCTTGGTCCGTCTAGATGTCAGCCGCGAGCTCCCAGCCAGCCAGAGCGAGCCAGAGAGGGA